AGTGAAGCTATAGCTTTGATTAACTTAAAAGAATACTAAAATAATAATAGCTAATTATTGGCATATATGGACTGTTTTTATAGGCACGCAGGGCATCTAGGGTCAAAATAATGTTGAATCAGCTCTGTTTAAACAAAATTAACTCGTAATCAACGTTGTTTCAGCGTTATTCGCCTGGAGGGGAGGGATTGTGAAGCGTAAATTAAAACGCCATCTTGTAATATATATATCCTATAAATTTATTCAATATCCTGTCACATTTTCAAAAATTTCTTATTCATATTATGAATTCCCATCACCTAAGAATATAAATAAATTTATTGCGGGAATCTTGGACTAATAATAATTTTACAAGATAAATATTTATAAATAAAGATACTGAAAGCCTATACTAAAGTGTCTCATATGAGTCATATATGTGAATTTAATGTATTGTTCACAAAGTTGAAGATTATTAAAATTAATGTACTGGACATATTCAATCCAATTAGAAGTAACTTTGCTCGTCTTGGATTCACAGTCAACTAGAATGTTTATTTGATGTTCATACTGTTGAGGCACTGAGCATTTGCCATTACTTTTAACATTAATTATAGAGTTATACATATAGGCTCACGTGATGCACGCTGCGTTTCAGAAGCACCTAGAAAGCTGGTATTCCTAAAAAGTGACTTACTGCTCCAGCATGTAGGACAAAATCCTTCAAATCAAGCCACTGTAGAGATGCAGCGGCGCGGCAAAAACCATCAAGTCTCCCACGTACGCCGTCCCGGCAGCCGTGCAGGGCTTTCTCTGTCTGCCCGGACCTGTAGGGTTGTGGCGGGCGACGAGCGACAGGTTATCTTCGTTTTAAGGGCTGGGGCATATTTCACTTCAACTTTTAGCATATTTTCTCATATGGTTTTACCAATATGGAATTATTAAAGATTGTAGTGTGGAATTTTGAATGAAGCTCACGAAACGAACAACTTATTGACATATTGTGATCATGTATTCGATGTTTTTTTTTACAGTTTATGCAATATTTGAGTGTTTCCCCAAAAGTCATGTTTACAAATAAGGTGCTCCTTATAGCTTCCGAAACACCGAACCAACACTTTATAGAGGCTCTGACCACCGTGCCAGGTGATCCAGCATAAAATAAATAAAATGAACACAACGATCCAGCACCGTGTGCCAGGTGATCCAGCACCGTGTGCAGGAGATCCAGCACCATGTGCCAGGAGATCCAGCACCGTGTGCCAGGAGATCCAGCACCGTGTGCCAGGAGATCCAGCACCGTGTGCCAGGAGATCCAGCACCGTGTGCCAGGAGATCCAGCACCATGTCATGAATGGGAAGCGATTCAACTTACAGCAAAGAAGCTCTCGCTAAATTGATGTATGGTCATGAATAATTTTCCTTTATAAACTTCACCGCATTATTTATCGCAGATTGCTTAATAATTTACAAACCTATTTGCTGAGTCAAATTCGATGGTTTAATTTTAATTCCGTGAGGCCAAAGTAATGGGCTCATGGGACAGAATTCGTACTCTGCTTACATTATTTTTATTTGGTCCTCGGTTCTTCATATCTAGAATAGTGAATTCACCAGTAACTCATATAATCCATAATCATATTCAGCAGACTCGCCTGTGCGGATTGAATTTGCTACCTCAACAAAGTTTAAATGAAAATCGACAAAATGTATACATTTAATATTTTAATTTATAATTTACTTTTATTTTCCCAGATTATTTCCCAGATTATTTTACCAATTATGGTTTGTAAGGAAAATATTTTTCATGGATGCTGTAGTCACGACGTCTTCACATGTCAACATCCACCATCAGAAAATTTTCGTCAAAATCACATTTCCGGAGTGTAAATAGTAGATAACTGCAGGAAATAAGTCCTTTAACCATACATAACACTCAATTAAACATTTAAGCCACCTAATTGCATATGTGACTAAAATGCTTGAATCATATGACCGCTATGTGATGCTATAATATCTATGCATTATGGCACTTCGGAGTATTATTGCCACATATGTGACGTCATGAAAATATTAATTTGATTCATGTAGCTTGACGGGCCTAGCTGTTGGCTATGTACGCGCGTAAAGCAATACTAACGACCAGAAATAAAATTAACTATTCACAAAATTATTGTAGACTAGATCATAGAAATAAATAACCTGATCTAGCGTGATTAGTGTTATTTGAATGTCCACTGGGCTTAAATAAGTGTAGCCCGGGAGAAATCAATAAATAATATGTGAGCCGCTGGGGCAGGATTGGTCGTAGTCGATCCTGAATGTCCGGCCTGAACGTTCAACAAAATAAATTTAATGCAACAAATTTAGATAGAAAACAGACTTGTAAATGATTGTTTTGTAAATGATTACAAAACTACAGAAAATTTAATTTTGAAGTTAATTTTCTCATTTACACGCATATTGTTCGTATCCTTGATCCCGCTAAGGGCAGTACGCTAAATTTCATGCATGGACTCACGCGCAACGCACAAGCGCCAGAAAAATTGCATCTATGCAGAGATTATTGCATCTATGCAGTGATTATTGCATCTATGCAGAGATTATTGCATCTATGCAGAGATTATTGCATCTATGCAGTGATTATTGCATCTATGCAGTGATTATTGCATCTATCCACTGAATGACGTCGTATTAAACGATCAAAATTTAATGAGCTAGTTTGGCTGCTCTTGGCCACGTACAAAGTTACAAAAACCAAGCATCGAAAGTCTGGATCATAAAAACTAATCAACTTTCCTAGCTTCCTCAACCTGAGCCACGTAGGTACAAACTATGTATATAAATAGATCTTATGCCAGAACTGGTTTTTATATACGCGAGCTTCAGGTTTTTAGCATAACCGCGCGGTACTTCCTGCATATATATAACATTAATTTTCTATTGAAGTTAACCTGCATTTTAAGTCACACTTATCATGGGCGGACAAGAGGTAGAATTTCTCAGCGATATCGTGATTAATGTTCCAGTGATAAGCTTGGTTTAACAAATGTTCAATATTTATTAGTTAGTAAAAAATACAAATTGTATTCCTTTAGTAAGAAATTAACATTTCAATCGGAATTTTAAATGTCCCTCCCAAAAAAATTATTCGTCCCAGTTGCTGTGTTTACTTTTTATTATTAATATAATCTACGGCCCTCAAGCAGCAGATGTGCGCTGCGTAAGGACTGCGTAAATTAAGCGCTGTGTGCGCTGCACTTAATTGCATTGCTGATTTGAATTCGGCGTTGAAAAGTACTAAAGCATTCCATTTTTAGCCCGAATATTCCTATAGCATTCCATGAGCAAACTTCTCCTTGCAAAAGGGAGGATCATTTTTGTGTCGTACAGGTGACTCTTTCCTCCAGGCAAAGAACGATGAAACAACTTTGATAAATATTGGATATAATTGAATTTATGTTATTTCAACGTCTGATGCTTGGTGGTTTGCCAGTCGTCTTCCAAGCTAACGAAAAAGCTTGATCGTTGACGGATGTAGGACTAAATTTGTATGGTAACTTACGATGCATAATCAAGAGTACTCTCTTATTTTTTGATGCCACCATCAAGAAAATCTGCGCTTTATCAATTCACGTTTGCAGTTGGCGCGAAATTACTCAGGAAATTAGTTCAATAAATTTTTGGAAAAGTTATTATTCAACTTTGAAGGTCGTTATGTCTTCATATATAACATTGATGTTCGGTTGAAACTCGAGAGCCTCGCCTGCACGTTGTGCGGACTGAATTTTCTACTTCAACAAAGTTTAAATGAAAATTAACCAAGTGTATTTATTCATTTAATTTATGATTTTCTTTTTCGAATTTCATGCTGAAAAATTGCGTATTCGATGCTCAAAAAAATCCAAATTGATGACAAAAATTTTGGCGGTTACCGCCTGTGTGTTTTAAATTCATTCGTGTTATTGACTCACCTACAGATGTCGATCATAACAAGTAGTTGGATGAATATTGAATAATTTGATTTGAAATTTTCTATAATTGAATGGCGAGATTGTTTTCAGCAACAGATCCGTGCGGCGAGCTACAACCATAACTCATCTATATCGAGTAAGTTGATGAGCAACTCGAACTGAAGCGAAAGCTCCCACCGATGCCATGTGAGATATCACGCACCCCATTTTTTGATCGTTTCTAATAGTTCTTCGTTTCTTCGTAAATCAAATCTAAGTGATAGCGACTGAATTGCTAATGATTTATTTGATAATGACTGAATTGAAAACGAATAAGATACCTAATGATCGACTTCCAGTAACGTAGACCATTTTGTGCCCAGGGCGATACGCTGATTATCCCTATGCTATTTTTCTCGCTCTTAAGTTTTGAAATTTGTTGTATAATTCGTTTTAAAATTCAGTCTAGTACAGTTTTAACAGTCGAGTCCAGTAATACCTAACCTAACCTAACCTTGATTATTAATGACAGTCATTAAACGTGGCGATTATACATGAAGGGTTTGTTATGTTAATTCTCACAGCATCTCATGAGAGATAACGTATGACATGATACATTTATGTTAAGTCCTTGTAATTTTTAGATTCACGATACTAAATTTACCCTAAATACAATTCCAGCCAAGGGATGATCTGGATTCCCATCTTCTAGAAGGAGAACTTGAAGATGTAGATCTTTATGAGTCGCTCAGGCGATTGATGAAACGGGTAAATTAAATACTGAGTTGCAACTACACATTGAAAATAAAACCCATATTAACAGATGAGTAGAATAAATTTTTACCATTGACAGACCATTGGTCATTTCTGAAGTCCACAACTCGCGCGGCTGCCGGGGCGGACGGCGGACATCACCGGCGCTTGCTGTGCCAATCCGCACGTACACCAAGCCACACACGCCCCTTTTTTCGCCACGTTTTCTCATATTGGTTTCAGCTCAATTTTTGCAGGTTTTTCATAATACTGAGGTATAAAGGCTTGGTTTAGCGTGGCATCTCCTCAGTGCAGAATCAGCAACTCTTCTTGTGCAGTCAAATACTGTAGGGCCGCCCGTGGTGGATCAAATCTGTCCCGCACGTTTTTCCGGTGAATTTATGGGTTGAATAAGGGAATTGCCGTGCACTAATATATCTAATTTACAGTTTATTAAATTGTCCGCAATGGATATTCATGCTACTAATTGGTCCTATGTACCTGCAATATTTTTGAGCATCGTGAAAATTATTGAGAAAATAAAAATAAATTCGTCAAGAGATATATTTAATTGCAGCTCATGTCGTGGTTATGTTCGTTCTCAGCATAAACTTAAATAATTTTGCTTCGAATCTGAGAGTGTAGTCGGTGAATATTCTTGAATTCCTCTGCAATATTTGCATTGTTGTGATGGGGCAGATGAGTGAGGATCTGGCCTTGTGTAATGCACTTGAGGTTGGCAGGAACTTCGGTGAATCGGTGATGTTTGTGGAGGTTTGTTCGTTTTTCTTGCTGTTTAGATGTGACATTTGCCTTGAATCAATGTGGTGCTAAATGAAAATATAAAATTCTGCATTTCTGCACGTGTTTCTCCGTGTTCTACTTCTGTTTGAATATGTGTATTTGTCTGACTGCGTGTTGTGCTAGGTGCTGTTTATTGATATGTGTGATCTGCAGTGATATCGTCTGCGGATAGAATGTAGTCGTTGTTGGGCAGAGGTTGGGGAAGCTTGTTATAGTTGACACTATTTACTTTCGGTGAGAGACAGGCTCTGGGAACTCCCGTGTGAAGAGGGAATGACAACTCGGATGTTTCTCAATTTGAGAGGAAGTTGCTCTTTTTTTCTATATTGATAGAAGACTTTTCGTTTCGTCTCTGCATTGTTGGTTTCAGTCGCTGCAGGATGCAGCACCCTGCCATGGCACGTTAGTTTTTGAAATCATCACAAATCTGAAACTATAATAAAGTTTTATGGGCACTGGGCAGTTTCGTAGCACGAGTATACATTGATGAACCTCGGTGCTTCTGCCTGCTTGAGGCGTAGACTATTGCTACAATTTTGTAGTAGGAACACTAGCATGCACCGGCACTACTCGTTTCTAGCACGGTTTTCATCCATTCTTTGGTCGTCTGCATGTCATGCAGCAAATGAAGGGTCTTAATACGTATGTCGTAATACGCAGAGCAGCTATGGTCTGTCGAATCCAGCTGTTCGGCTATGTTGGCCCGCAATGTAAGCTGCTATGTGGAATTCTCTACTATGTGTTCGACATTCAGTGTTTTACTTGACGACGTCTTATACCTAGCGTCATTGGCTTCTCAAAAATCATAATTTTCGATCAAATTTCGATGATTCTTCGAATGAGTTTCGAGATCATCACTCGATTTTACGCTCTTAATTCCACCCTTTGCTATACGCCCTTAATCCTCTTCCCCCAACCTCACTCATTACCACCCCATATTAATATTCCAATGAACCTTTCCTGCATTCATTCTTCGTAACACTCGCGCATAATTCCTCTTTGACACCTCCTTCTTTTAATATTCATATCTCAATGCCAAGTTCCCAACCGGTGAGGTATGAAGCTCCCTAACCTACTCTCTCCCGCAGACGGGTGCAGTGAGGATGCTCCTTCTCACTGTGCTGGTGGTGGCGGCATCAGGGTCCGCTAGTGGCACCCCGGGGATGATCACTTACGTCTCCAACAGGAGAGAGGGGAAGAATGAGCCGACTTCTGTGAGTGCTAGTGGCAAATGTTCATAGTCTCACGTTTGCTTGCTCAGAGTTACATTAGGTTGGTATGGGGAAAAGGTTAATGAGAGAGCTGTAGTTAATTTGTGCTGGTCACGGCTACACCGAAAAGATTTAATAAAAGATGCAGCAGGCTCTGGGTAACTAGTGCCTGGCAAGGCTGGTGTTTTGAGTTAAGCCAGATTAAGCCTCATATTGACGCTTATTGTGGGATTGTTGTATGACGGCTAGACTTTTTTCATTCTCTCGTTTACGCTACTTTTCAATCGTGGTCATAAGAATCTATGTCGTTAAAAAATTTATTTTTTTTTCGCAGTATTACACGTAATAATATGAAATCGTTATTTCATTTTTACAAGCATCTTCAACGTGCGACTTATTTGAATGTTTTACGCTGAAAATTTTAGATGCTCTAGAGAGTATAAAATTTCTTCGATGAAATATATAGACGATGTGGAGGCATCAGTCAACCAGTAACTCATTCAAAGTTTTGATAATCCAAAGCGTCTTAATGCTGAGAGCCTTTGACTTTCTCCAAGCGCAACTTAATAAAGAGACTGGACGTGTCAAACCTAAATGTTCGTAGGTTTAAATGTCATTTTCCTAAAACTTTGTTAACCCACGATCAATCTTGTCTGTTTATCTAGATTGCCTTATTCATTATTCATGTATTTACTTGTTGCATCCTCAGGTCATGTACGGATCTCCTGAACCGACTTATGGTTCCCCAGAGATGAGCTATGGTCCTCCTCCCCAGTCCTATAAAGTGCAGGCCCCGATGGTGTACTTGGTACCTCATCAAATGCCAAAGAAGAAGCCGAAAGAAAAAGAGGTCGAAGAAGAAGTAGAAGAAGAAGTAGAGGAGGAAGAAGAAGAAGAAGAAGGTAAAAAGGGGAAACCAGCAGAAACTAAAGAAGAAAAGAAATGTGCCGTCCGACTCGTAAGTAACGAAAATCCAGGCTGAGAAATTCCCGAGACTTAATTAATTTTGAAGCAACTTGCGGTAATCTTAGAATTTGATTCAAAATTGTTCAATTGAACGCATAAAATGAATAGTTGCACAGTATCAAAGAACACGCATTAATCAGACTTGCATTAATTCGATTTAGTTGTAAGTTGGACAGTAATTCAGTTTTTAGCAGTAATATTAATCTGTATGACATAAATCAGACTTTGTTATGAAGGTACATACAAGTTATGCATAGATATTGTTGTAATTGTTTTCTTATGTGCTAGAAAGCCGATTTGTTTCACAACAATTTTATGACATTTGTTTTGCCTGCTATGAGTTTGAACGCTTCGCTCAAAAGTAATTCATCAATCAAAGAACTTCAAAATCTGAGTAATTAATTCGTGGCGTCATAATGGCTATTCTGATTGGATTCGTAAATTTTGTATGCTAGCAACAAGTCAAATTTCTGCTCCAATTGCTGACTTAATTGAAATTTTAATTGCTGACTAAACTTCAGCGTACTACCTCATAACTTGCAGATGTGGGTGGATGATAAGCGGACAAAAATATTCTTGCATGAATATTTTTGATTGAAATTCAAGGCAATTGTGATGAAAGGTGCTCGAACACCTTAAATTTGGATTTTAGTTTCAATACAACAAATTTCAAAGACATTCTAGAATCCCCCGTATAACCATGATTCACTTGAATACAGTGTCAAATTTTCTTACTTGTGTTTTGCCTGTTTTGGATTTTTTGCATTTGTTGTCGAATGATAACGTCGAAAAATATTAAACAAAACTGTTCCTTTTAAATCAGGAAGGTGACTGGGTGAAGCTAAATAATTATTTCATCGGTGTTGAAATGAAAGGACAATTGTTGAGTAATTTATGATTGGGTGCGTTTTTCAATTTCATTATATCCTTGTCAGAACTAGAGATTTTCTGTCAAAAGTAACGGAAAAATGTTTAAATAATTCAGAAGCCAATGCAAATTATTTTTCAAAGTGAACACGCATAAAAAGTTTACAACGTAACAGCAGATGACTAAATTTAGAAATATGTTCAGCTCGCAGCAATTTTGAGACATCAGAACAAGCGTGTCATACTTTCCCTCATTCTGACTGTTTTGAAGGCAACAAAAATTCAATTAATCCGACGCAGAAAAACGGCGTATAATCACGGCGTATAGAAATTCACCGCCAAATTGTTATTTGCTGCACTAAATGTATGTGAAATCAGAAATCATTCTTTCTGACATCATATAACTCACTTCTTAAAATGAATTAAAAGAGAAAATTTTCACGGTAAAATATTTATTCTCTTCTTTGTGACAGCTTCTTCCGCCGCTGATCATTATAACGATCTTCATCGGGTGTATCTTAATACAACTGGTGATACCTACCGTCACGGAAGCGGTCTTGGCCCCGGTGGTGAACCCGCTTGTGGCGGTGATCCAGGCAATTACTCTACAGACGCCCGTCACTGTCATACGCAGTGGAAGATCAATGCCGGGCAATGATGTCCCCGATTCTGCACTGCAAGCATTCGATTCGCTTTTCCAAGTTGGTGCTGAGAATTGGGTCCATTATTTCTGTTGATTTTACACGAAACGTAATATTTTATGCTATCTAAATTTCTCAAAGGTATTCGAGAATACTTTCCACCATGAATTGGTGTTTCTTTGCGTTAATCTTGTGCTTTAAACGATTCCAGCTGACAGTGCGAGTCACCGAAGTGCTGTCCAACGAGTCCTGTTTTGCTGCGATGCTGTGCGAGGCCGCCGCTGCCGTCCCTCAACCCGACTTGTCGTCCAGGTGAGACTTGGCCACCGCTGTCTCTCAACTCAATCTTTCGTCAAGGTGAGACTAGACCACGGCGAACTCTCAACTTTTCGTACAGGTGAGAATTCGCCATCGCCTTTCCTCAACCCGACTTGTAGTCCAGGTGAGACTTACCACCGTCGTCCTTCAACCCAACCTTTCGTCCAGGTGAGACTAGGTCACAGCGGACTCTCAACTCAACTTTTCGTCCTGGTGAGACTTCGCAACCGACGTCCATTAACCAGACCAGATAAGAAGCACAGCGCTACGCCCACCATTAACAACATGATACCATTCGTCCAGATTACATTATCCCGTAGCCCGTAGGCACCTGCTGACTTAGTGTCTCTTTGAGTACTAGAGAGTCCAGCATCCCAGCCTGTCTATCTTCCAGGCGAGTTCAGTCTCATGCTGCATCCCGACATCGATTCGAACAGAGTCCCGGTCAGCGCCGAGTATAAATCTATTGTACGCGGGAAACGCGACCATTGCCGCATCCCATAACAATCGACATGGAGCAAAATGTCGCGCGCAAAGACTCATTTTGACTCAATGACTTACGTAGTGAGTAATGACTCAATATATTGCCCGATGAGACTTGACAAGCGATGTGTTTAACTTTGTCCAAAATTATTAACATATATCATTTAATCAACTAATTAAGGAGGTGAGTGCCATTTTAATCTAATTCTCGATTATTTGCAGAGTGCTGAAGTTTCTGGTGCCTTATCGCTACCACAGCTACGTAGACATCCTCACGGGGGGCAAGCAGCGCTGCAGGAAGCTGTATCCCTGCCACATATGGCCCGAGCGTCCCAACAAAATGCAGGCCAACGGCTTTTTATCCAATCAAAAACTTAGACAAAATGTTACAGTACAACCGCAATTCAATGAAACGACAGACTCAAATGAATTTTCCAACCAAATCTGGCGATGATTAGTATTTTTCTGCTCGTCTATATAAGCTCAATAATTTCAATCGTACGACTACACATTTTATCTCATTCGACTTATTTGGTTCATGTTGAACTATGCACAGCTTCGATATTGTTGAGCAATGCCAGACGTATTATAGTAACTTATTTTAATTTATTATTTAGTCTAAGGCATTGAGTAAGTATTTGAGTGCTTTAATGAATCATAAATCACATTTGAGAAAGAACAATGATTAATTAACCTGACCAGAACATCTCGTATACAAATAAAAACAAGAATATATAAAACAATTCCGACAATTCTGAAGTCAGTAAGCTGTTGTCAAAATCCATGCTATTGTAAGACGTTCGCAGGATCTCGATAAAATACTTTTTACTTTTCTCTGCGCTTAATTCCAAATCTGAGATGAGGAACACGATTTGCAGGTCTATTTCAGGCTCGCCTCGTTTTTCATGCTATCTAGCAACAAAAAATCTCTCTTTGAGAGAAGAGGCCAATTAAATCATTGCTCAAAAAGCAATACCAGCACATAGCGATAGGGGGCCTGGGCTGGCGACGATTCAATTGAATTCGACGAATGTAAAGTTGCATTGTTTGCCGTTGCCTCGGTATACAAATTTAATTATAAGGAAGTTTCACTGATATATTATTACATAACGAAAGATTTTCCATTTCATGTGTAAAAGATAATAAATTGTTTGTTGCTTCAACTTTATATGAAAGTTTTGGTCCGCTGAGAGGAAACTAAAGACCGATCGATGCTTCTGCTGCAAAACAAGTATCGACAAAAAAACGTATGCAATATTTTTCATAAATTTATTTCATTATTTAATTTTAATTGATCAGGACGTCTTTTAATTTTAAATCTAATATCTTTTTCCTCGCTGGAGTCGAGTTTCCTTTAGAATCTCTACCTGCGAAGTATTGTCATTTTCTAAGTAAGCGGTTCAGCATCGATTTAAAGTGAATTATCTCTGGATTTAAATATTATTTCGATAGGTTTTAACTCCTACACATCGACTTCTTTATCATAAACTGGTTCCTGTGCTCCAATTAAGAATCGATTTGAATAAACCCTCAACTTCCGTAAACGGTAATTTCGATAATATTCAAGAGTAAACTTTATAAATGAATACTATTTTTTGGAAACACAAAATTTTTTTTGTGTTTCAAAATTCTCCAAAAAGGAGAATTAAATAATAATCTCACTACAGTTTAATTTTCTAAAATTAGTATTTGATTTTTCATGACCTTTTTGTCTTCCAGCAGAAAAAGGAACAATGTGTGTGTGTGTGTATAATAATAATAATAATAATAATAATAATAATAGCGGTTTCAGCGTTATTAGGCCGTAGGCCTGTCGCCGATTCTTAACATCGCAGAACATTCACTGCGTTTTGCGATCCCGAACTCGCAACTCACTGCTACAATAATTCTGCTGTGCTTAACCGCCCGGCCTCCTTGCCGATTCTGACCAGAAACTGACGCACAGAGCTGGGATCGAACCCGCACCTCTCATCTCTGCGCCAATCTTGGTACTCTGAACTTTAAACACTGGGCCACCCTGACCAGTAGGTAGGGGTTCACGAGTGCAGACAATATACAGACATCATATACAGATATGTACAGACATTACAAAGTGGCAAGTCAGGCAAAAGAAGGCTGCCTACTAGCAATCTGCTGTTTCTCTATAAAACTATCTACGCATACTTTTTCTCTTCAGTCTTTGTTGACTGATGAGAGGTGCGGCGGCTGAAGAAAACCAATAGCGCGGCCATGCAAGGCTGGCCCACTGCAATATTTCAGTTGTGCTGAATATACTACAACAATTAATTATCTATCAGCGGGAATGAACAATCGAACATTGATTTGCATGGAAAATCCCCGACAAATCATGTTATGTTTACTGAAAGCATGCACAGGCAAAAAGTTATGAGCCATAATAGAACTAAATTCGAGTGCAAGCAGTAGTATTTTCTAGCAACTTGCTAAAAAAATAAAGATAATAATTTTAATGATGCCTGAAATGTTTTCTAGGTATCATTCAAATAAAGATACTTATTTTATTGAGACCTATAGAATACATTTCGATTTTTAAAATGAGAGCTACTGTTTATTTCTCTTACATTGAACAATTCAGATAGGAATCAATGATAAAAATTCAGCACTAAGATTGAAAGCGTAGATTAGTTGATGATATATGACAATTCACATGATTAGGTATATTATATGATTCAATATTGCGGAGCATAGTGTACCATATTTCATTTAAAATCATACGGGAATGACGTTTCTTAGTACACATGAAAAACGGTATTACGGCCCTTTAGGCCCCGACAATATGCGAATACCGGCGAAATAAGAGACAGATTTTTCAACCATCTATCTTCTGAAATTATTCGTTTGGTACCAACTTTTTTATTTATAAATGTTAGGTATTGATGTGCAAAAACCGAAAAGTTCTTATTTACTCATTTTACTATAGAAAAATTATTTGTGACTTCCATTCCCTTAACATCAGATCATAAATAGATTTTAACTCGTTATACTCTAAATAGTGTTGGCTCGTTACTAGTTTGATAAGACTGTAGCAGCTTCTTCAATAATTAGGATATATTTTTCAGGCTATAGTGAAATTTCCTGGAACAAATCTAAAAATAAAATCCGATTTTATTAAATAATTACAACTTAACTTTCCCAAACATTCAAAACGATATTCATTTTCTGAAAAGAAGTACGAATTCTGGACAAACTTTCTATTTCGGTGATCTAAAATGTTTTTTTATCGGGGTATCAGAAATTCAATTCACAATATATTTTATATTTTCCATACAGAAAACGTCAGATTGTTATTTTGTAATTTGAAAAATTCTACAAATTTTTTCGCATAAATCCACGATGTAGCCATGTATGCGCGAAATGAATGTGTCTCTAAAACTGGATTAGGTCAGCTCAATAGATGATCCGAGCAGCGAAGACAGAACTCTGTACCTTTTATTAGTGAAAATATATAGATTATATCAAAATAATGTCCATGTATGGTGAAAGAGAAAAATTAAAAGTATGAAAAATTAACAATTTAATTAAAATTCATTGTATATTGTTTACTTGAGACTCAATAATTCTTAATACCACCTTGTGTAGAAAAATGTAAAACTCATTTTCCGAATGGAATTCACAACACAAAGTTTAATAAATTACAATTTCTATAATTTCTTATGGCCAAGACGACCAGGCACAGATCAACTTAACTAATATGAAAGTATGAAGTGAGGTGAACAAAATCCATAAAACCGTCTAACAGGTTTTAATTGTAGTGGCCCGCCTCCCCGTGTAGTTAAACCATGCCCCCTTTTTTCAAGTTAAGCATGGAATTTTTGAAACACGGAATATATATATTTACGAAAAAATGCGACAGGATTGAATTTCACGAAACGGTCAGCCAGTAAAACGCCGGTCAGACCTCATATTCATCAATTTTTGAACGGTGTAATATCGAAAAAAGCTGGAAAATTGGTGACCTTGAAAATATTAAACCTATTTCGTTGGAAAAGAAAACAGAAAAGCATTGGGAATTACTTATATATGGTACGTTTAATTTTAGATCCTCATCTAATGAATCACGAGTGCATATTGAGTAATCTCGTTTATAGAATTCACAGGAGTAAATCAAGTATTCCATATAGACTACTGTTTCTGGCAAGAGTTTTTCGTAAACCAAATTTTCTGCAATTGAGTGACGAATGCTGATGGAGCAACGATCTGATCTGAGTCAGCGAAGCATGACTCACTACGTTTATTCATGCATTTAAAATGAATACATTTGCTTCACCCAACCCAGAATCCCCTTCAAAATTGCATATGATTGAGTTAGTGAATCTCAGAAAATTGAACTCAATCGAAGACAATGTTTCATTTTACCAAGAGTCATCTGATAAATATGTAATGGTAATGCTACCAGTTATTGGATTCCACTCTCTATTACATCAATAAATAATTAAACTAAAAAACAGAACAGTTCAATACATTAGCACATGCGTTCCAGAGTACCAATAGAGAATGAAAACTATTAAATACTCCGGGGCAATGTTATTGAGAGACTAGAATTGCCATAAATTTTTTTCGATGACAGCCATCACCAAAAGCAGTAGTTCTAATAAAAAATGTAATTTTCCCTTGCTTTAATGCGTTTGTTTAAATGTATCTAGAGTGGCTTTGAATTTTTTTCTTGTCCGTTGATTGAAGAAGTACAAATTTTCCATTTATACGATGATTCACGGAGTTTTTTCTTTCCGAGCGTAACCAGTGAATATAGGCTTATACTAACCACCCAGGAGCGAGGATTGAAAGGTTATAATTCTCACCCAACAAGAAGAAGTGAAACGTTATTAAGGAAGGTGTGGGAAGGGAAGGGAAGGTGTGAGGGAAGGTGTGAGGGAAGGTGTGAGGGAAGGTGTGAGGAAAGGTGTGAGGGAAGGTGTGAGGGAAGGTGTGAGGGAAGGTGTGAGGGAAGGTGTGAGGGAAGGTGTGAGGGAAGGTGTGAGGGAAGGTGTGAGGGAAGATGTGAGGGAAGATGTGAGGGAAGGTGTGAGAGAAGGTGTGAGAGAAGGTGTGAGGGAAGATGTGAGTGAATTGTGTTTTGCAAAAGAAACGAAAGTATAAGGCACTACAGGCAAATTAACTCTGTTGTGGCAATATTTTGAAAAGCTCACGTGATGCTTGGCGCGTTTCAGCGCCAATAATTAATTAGAAAGCTACCTTTCCAAAAAAACGCTCCGACGATTGAGCGCAGGCACGACCAAATATATCGCAATAAAATCATTGGTGAGCTTTAAAGGAAGACATTGCCTACGTGTAAGACAAAAAACATTCATTTCTTCCACGTAGGCAATTCGTCGGGTCGTACAAGGCTTTCTCCGCTGGTCCGGACTACATGGAACATGAGAGCTGCCTTATTTCAGCTGCACCTGCTGGCCAAATCTAATGAAAATAGATTTAGTCAGCGGCTCCAGCTGTTATACTGTTAACTGTTTTACTTGAAGACTCTCTACCTAAATTCTCCTATATTTTATACCATGGACGTGAAACTTCTAGGTAGTGTCCCATTGAGAAGTAAATATGGATGAAGAATGCTCTTAGATTTTTTAAAAATATGCTCTTTCCTTTAAAGTATATACATTAATTTGCAAATCTACCTAGTTGATCGTCATAAGTGGTTACTGATCAAGACCATATATGGCAATACGAGCTTCCGTACGACTGTTAAGTGGAAGTCGTTAGTTTTTGCTCAACCGGAATCATTTCATGTTTTAGATAATTTCAGCCTCATGTTATATCAATATCACGCCTTTTACTGAAATGAAGATCACAAAAGCATTTTCGGGCAGGCGTCATCGGCTCCACAGATTATTGAATAAATTAACTATTCAATACAGCCACACACGAACGCTATCGTGTGGTCTACACTGTTTTATGTATGGCGCTGTGCAGTGCGGCATCCTTTTATTCCACTTTCCGGAATCCAGAGCTGAAGATATTCTACGATTATATTCCAATTAAATTTAAAGCGCTTCGCTTCGCTTCGAGTAAAGACGTAGTATATCCAGAGATGTGTATCCTAATCTCTCCCTGCTCGCCGACCCGTAGCAAACATTTATTAATTGATTAGCGGTGTTCATAAATTGTACCGAATGAGAAAAATCATCGGTTACACTGGTTATTGTAATTTTAGCTACAGTAAATTCTTAATTCTTAGTACAAATTCTTCAACACTTAAGGTTTTAAGCATTTTACAGTGTTAATTCGTTCATGTATTAGACACGAGTTGACGAGAACTATAGACGAGCGCAGCGTAATTTTATTCAGACCCGCTCTACCAAATATATTTGAACTTTTGGCGTGTACATGAATTGAAGCTCTCTACCCAAGTTCAGTGGCAGAGATACGTAGTCCTAAGCAGCATCGTTGATATCCTTTTTGAATTGTGAACCATTTGCAAAGTGAAGTCCACAACTCGCGCGGCTGCCGGGACGGACGGCGGGCATCAGCCTCACCTGCTGTGCCAATCCGCACGTACACCAAGCCACACACGCCCCTTTTTTCGCCACGTTTTCTCATATTGGTTTCAGCTCAATTTTTGCAGGTTTTTCATAATACTGAGGTATAAAGGCTTGGTTTAGCGGGGCATCTCCTCAGTGCAGAATCAGCAACTCTTCTTGTGCAGTCAAATACTGTAGGGCCGCCCGTGGTGGATCAAATCTGTCCCGCACGTTTTTCCGGTGAATTTTAAAATATTATTGTACCAAACTAAAAAATCAATTTCCGATTTAAGTTAAGTGACGCTCTAAAGTTTTGATGCACAAACAACTCACGATATGATTTTAAAGTCAAGCAGTGATTTGTGACACATTTCTTTCATTGTTCATATTGTAGTTTTGGAAGGAGTTTTTCAGTTGAATTTCGCATGCTAATCAGAGCTTAAAGGATCACATGCATGGTATTTCATATTGCCGTTCATTAAACTACTCATAAGTGTGCTGCCAGCTATGACCATGGAAATTTGGTTCGATACGATACATGTAATATTTATGACTGATAATGATCGATGAGATGATAAATGGAGATTAAGCTAAGTGAATGGATATTCTGAATATTTCAATTGGACGTAATGTTCACGTTAAGTGCATATTCTTAAAACTGAATCTTATTTCATTCTATGTCAGTTTTTAAAATGTATAGATCGTGTAACTGGAATCTAATCAACACAAATTACATGGAAAATACTTTATGAACATATTTAATCGAGCTTTATTTGTCGAACCAAAATCTGTACCAAAAGTTTTCGGAAGAATTTTGACCTTTCGACCATGTGGAGAAAATATTCAGAAAATATTGCCATAAAAAGAATTGTCGGGAACAAATTTGTGATAACAAATCTTGTCATCACAAATTAGGTCAACATGAAATATGAGGTGCAAAAAGTTCAGTTATTTTGCATTTTCTTCATTACAATAGAAGATGTAGTAAAGTTTGACAGCCATAATTCATCTGCACTGAAAACTTGTATTAAAAAAACATTAATTTACTTAAATTGTGATCAAATTACGTATAAATTTGACCTTCCTTAAACATAAAAGTTGATACCTCTACCGACGTAGAGCGTACAACCAAAAATTGCTGAAACATATGAAACATCCAAAATATTGGCAAATTAAGCGGGTTGTTCAAAACAGATATATTCAGAAGGATATATTAAGATGGCATTTAGTATTAGGTGAATGAAAATTTATAAACTTAAGCGAAAAATTCCGAAGTTTGTCTTTTGTTAGTTAATCCATGTGGCATAATTGAGAGTCCGCATAAAAACGAGCCTAACGAACTATGTCGGGAAAAATGCTCATCATTGAAAAATTACATTAGTCAACGTTATATTATATGTAAGTCAATAATTGAAAACATGGACTGAAACGAGTGAGAAAATTTCTCTCTTACACACGAGTTGCAACTGAAATTTTGTTCTGATAAATGTAGAGGAAGAAGAAGAGAATGTAACAGGTGTTATCTGATATTATGCAGATTGATAAAAGTGCTGCGATATAAAATGTGTAATCAATATATAATTCAGTCTCTTTCTCACTCGGTCGGGACTTTTTAATTTCCTCTTCTATCTATCTCAGCCTTCACTCCATCCTCCTGCATTATCCCTCACCCTTCACTCACACCACCTATATTCCTTACTCACCTCATAGCGGCTTTCTTTTTCCCCTTCAACCCTAAACCCCCTCATCATTTTTTGTCTAGCCCTCAACCCTTATCCCCCTCGCCATTTTTTGTCTAGCCCCTCTCCTGTCTCCACCCTACCTACTGATTCACCATATACGTTTCTCCGCCGTCGCAATCGTACTTCACCTAATCTCGGCGTCAATAATAATCAATCCTCACAAACGGTATCTACCCCAACCGTTACCACTCCACTACCAACCACTTCCTTCAATCCTTAAATTTCCTTCTCACTCATCACCTCCTCAACCCTCTTCCCCACAGATGATTTCAGTGAAGATGTTGCTCCCTGCGCTGCTGGTGGTGGTGGCCGCTGCAGGACCTGCTTTGGGCAGCCCTGAGCAGGTGACCTACGGCATCTACAGGAGGGAGGGCAGGGAAGAGCCTGCGTCGGTGAGTGGTAGTCTGCAGAGCCTGCAGAGCCTGAACAGCCTGCTTTGCTTAGTGCTAGTCAGCAGCACCTGCTTTGCCAAGAGATAGTTTGCAGCGTCTGCTCAGCTTAGTGCTATTCTGCAGCGCCTAATAAGCTTAGTGCTTTTCTGCAGAGTCTTCTTTGCGGAGTTTATATAGTCTACAGAGTCTGCGTAACTTGGTGCTACTTTTCAGCGCCAGCTTAGCCAAGTGCTAGTCTGCAGTCTTCTTTGCCGAGTTATTTAGTCTGAAAACCCCCATCAGTTGGTGCAAATCTGCAGAGTCTGCTTAGCTGAGTGATAGTCTGCAGAGCCTGCGTCGGTTAGTGCTACTCTGCATTCTGCTTCGGTGAGTGCTAGTCTGCAGCGAGTGCAGATTCAGCTTCCGTAAGTTATATGGCCTACCAAACACCGCATTCAATTTCAACATGGATGGACCAGTTGAAGTCTCCATCGTCTTGCAGCGCCTCGTTGACTGGTCGTCATGATTGTTAACACGCGCCATCATTTTTTTTAGCTCGGTAAATAGCGCCTGACTTTGTTATTAGTGGCTGTACCGCACAAAATTTGTGTGTGTGTTCGAAGCATCTAAGTAATATTGGTAAGTAAGATACACATAAGAATAGCAAAATACCGGTCGGCTACGAGCAGATAGTATAGTATAGTATCTTCGGCATGGAAGAATAGGCCTGGATAGGCCTGTCGCCGATTCTTAGTGCAATAAAAAATCGCTGATGGTGCAATAAATATGGAGGGCATATTTTAGAAAACTATCGCAGCGTTGTGCGTGCACGAGGCCATGAAGCATCGCTCTTGAATAAAAAGTTTCATTCCAGAGTCGCGCGCAAAAAAAATCGAGAGAAATTTAGAAGCTTTCGTTTTTCAGGCTCAGCCGGAAAACTAGCGCAACATACATTTGTTTGGGGGATTAGATTTTGCTTGCAGGAACTGTACAATCAAAAATTGCTCAACTACACCTGGCTTTTTATGTAAGTATATCGGCCAACCCACCAGAAATTAGCAGCGGAGGTTACACACGCGCTACAATATCATTTAGTACGGCCCCAGGCGTGTCTCGAATACCTCGCAGATTGTTTCTTATTGGTGTTTTTTAACAGAGCTACGCTTCTCCTCCGGTCATGTACGGCTCTCCGGAGCCAACTGCTGTTTCCCAGCCCTCCTACGGCTCCCCTGAGAAATCCTATGGGCCTCCACCAAAGTCCTATAAAATGCCCGCCCCGATGATGTATGCGTACATTCCTCATCCAATGCCAATGGAAGAAGAAAAGGAAGAGGAGAAGAAAGAAAAAGAGAAGAAGAAAAAGCCGGAAACTAAAGAAGAAAAGAAATGCGCAGTCAGACTCGTGAGTGATTTACAGCTCAGTTGTAAGGTTCTCTGAAATTTAATTACTATAAAAGTTAAGATAACTTCTGAGTCTGCTTCTGAATTTCTCCATCGCACTCACATTTAATAATGCACTTTCAGATGTCAGACGGCATAGTAATGCTTTAGATTATCAAAATAAAATTTTTTGTATATTCACCCGCATTTCTTGAAGGTTGAAACCATAAGCAATGTGATATCTTTGTCTAACTTGAAAAATGTGGTTATTCTATTTTAATGCGCCATTTTGGTTCTCTACCTCTTTGGGTTATGTTATAAATGTCAAAAGAAGCGGTGCGTTTTCATTCATGCTTATATTGATAAATTGTGCCAGCAGTCGTATCCAGTAAAAGGTTATGATGGATGTTAGTTGAATTGCATGTGTTGAAACGAATTAAGGTCAGAATCCAAGCTTCGCTTATTAAGTGCGTGCTAATAAAATATTTTAAAAAGTTCATTGAATTAAAGTTACACAATTTTAACGTTTCGATTATAACGTTGTAAGATTATGCAGCCTGACCAAAAATTGTGCCATATATGCTGGTGAAGCATGCCAATATACGTGCCTCCCGAAATTTGAGGCTTGACTTACGCTGGCTGAAATATAACACAATTTACGGTCACCCTGATAAACAAGAATTTCTTTTCTATTTTCTCCTATATTTGCCTGAAGCCTTTATTTTCACTGTCACATTGCTTATTTTTTATCTTTTCCTAGGAATGTGAAGTAGCTTCATTCTCTTTGACAGGTTTTGCCGCCGCTGATCATCATTACGATCTTCATCGGGTGTATTTTAATACAACTTGTGGTACCGGATCTCGTGGCGGCGGTCTTGGCCCCGGTGGTGAACCCGCTGGTGGCTGTGATCCAGGCAATCACTGCCCAGACGCCCGTCACTGTCATACGCGGAGCAAGAGCAATGCCGGGCAATGACGTGTCCGATCCTGCACTGCAAGCATTCGATTCGCTTTTACAAGTTGGTGCTTGGAATTGGGTCCATTATTTATGTTTAATCCAGTGGTTGGTGGAGCAGAGAAGTAAATTGAGCGTGTGATAAGTTCAACAGCAAGCTCAGAGATGCACGTGGGAATTGTTCACAACTAGCGTTATTCTTTCATACCATGAGATGATGGATATATATGTAAATTACCATTCAAAGGTATACTGAAGAGCACGTATAGTCAAATATTTTTCACACGTTTCTTTTTGCGTTGGGTTGGGTAGTAAGGAAGATGCATCTAAGAAATGTTAAAGCGTCGAATTGCCAGTTTCTAGTAGTACATTAATTGATGGTACAGCCCGCCGAATCACATGGTATCACTTACGACCTATCTCATTGTGATACAAGAGCCTATCATCTGAATTTACAGCCATATTCGGCATTGTTGGACCCAAGTGACAACGTATGTCACCGGATAAACATTTTAGCTGAGAATTATAAAAATTATAGCATGCAAGGAAACGCAAAGTTCAAGAGTTGAAGGTACTCAAGCGGCGTCAAGTTTAAGTTTCAACTATCAGTAGATGTTAGTTGTATAACTTCTGTAGTCATCTAACTATTGCAGCTGACGGGACGGGTTACGGCCGCCCTGTCGCCTGAAGGCTGCTTGGCGACCCTGCTGTGTGACGCCACAGATGCCGTCCCGCATCCTGACTTGTCGTCCAGGTGAGACGTGACCACCATCGTCCCGCATACTCATTTGTCGTCCAGGTGACACGTGGCCACCATCGTCCCGCATACTCATTTGTCGTCCAGGTGACACGTGGCCACCATCGTCCCGCATACTCATTTGTCGTCCAGGTGACACGTTGCCACCTGTTCAATTTATCTCGAGGATGAGATAAGAGCAGCCAAAACCTCGATATGAATAAGTTACCTACATGATTTTGAAACCTAATTTTGTAGTTTATTATATTTGCATACTGAAGTCATAATTCATTCCAGACTGCTGAAGTACGCGCTGCCTACTCGCTACCACAGCTACGTGAACATCCTTACAAGAGGAAAAGAGAACTGCAAGAAACAATTCCCTTGCAATGTCCAGCCACATCACACAAACCTTCTATAGAGTGAACTGCATCAACCAAATCCAAACTCTTATACTCGTCGGGACCCATTGACCCTCCAGCAAGAAGTCCGTACCCATGTAATTCAACTTTACTTTGGCAATTTTTTTTTGGTATGCATTGAAATCGTTAAGCAGTGTTACCGTTTCTGTGCCGTTTACAGAATTTCGACTTTTGATTAGAACAAAAAATGTAGAATACGTGGTTTCAGATTAATAGCGGGAAACCTGTTCGATTAAACGACTGTACTAACAACGATCATCAGCTTTTCAGATTATACCAAAGACAATTATTCCCCGAAACAATATATATAGTCTTATCAGGATGATTGCAGACTTGATCTTTCTTTGAATTTGACAGTTCATGTTGAACTTCCACCGTTTCTAATTTTATTTGGACTAAACAAGATATTTTAATAATTTATTTTAAAGTAGTATTTAGCATAAGGCTTGTATTTAAGATAATTTATTTATAACTGAACCACATTTGCCGGGTTTGCTGAGAGTGGAAATTTCACAGAGTTTGAGGATCTGTACTTGCAACATCTAAGCTACAGAACCAAAAAATATCGCGGATGTTAACTAAACTGACACTGAATTAGAATGCTATCAATATTATATTGACGGGATGTCGTGCATGCACGCTCTAATAATTTCCGCAGTCAACTTAAAAATCGCTAATTGTAAAATTTAATTCGGTTTACATCCCGCAGCCTCCATTTGTTTCCTGTGAAGCCCAAAAATATTTGACCAGATTACCTGCTTAATTAAACATTTTCAAATTAAGATCGTTGATCAATGGTTAATTATACGGATATTATAATAGGCCATCTTTGACTCAAAAGCAAACAGCAGAATGAGTTTTGTACCTAAATTTCAATTGTTTGATTAATTTAAGATATCAAAATGTGGTGCTAATGAGCTCTAATGCTCAAAATGTTCAGCTGATCAATAATAGCATAATTACAAATTAGAAACACCTATTTTTTTCTGTTAAATTTTACATGATTATTGGCGATGATACCTTGAATGGTTATGAATGTTTGTGTCTTCAGACTTGGGCATTGAAAACAATGATAGCTCATTCGAGGGCTGTATCTAGCTACTTCTTTACTGCCATTTTTTTAAAAATGCTACATATTTATTGAATAACTATCTTCATCCGATCACCGTAATTTTTTTTACTTTGCTCATAATATTATTCTCATCCATACCAAATGTATCCGTCATTTACCTGAATATTTTGTCAGAGATGTAACTGCAGGTTTTTTTAGGGGACGTGTATTTTTTTAGCAGTATAGAAGGCTCGATCATAACAACAGAAAAAGAGTAAGTAAGTAAGTAAGATATTGAAAAACAATAAATTTCACCAAGTTTGTGTTCAGAACGGAACTTTTTATCCAACACACCGAGTGAGTATAGGAGCCTTGAAAGCTTTAGCTTTCAAAAATGCCATGTGAATTTCACTAGTGTCAGTTCAGTCGTTCATGGAAAACTCAACCAAGGAGCACCCTATATAGATAAGCCAGAGCTAAACGTCTCTTCAGTTATTGCATACGCGCAATCTCAGACTTCCTCAAAACAGAGACCGTACTGTGAAAAATAGTTACGAGTTTGTAATTACGTCAGTCCAATAGTGACGGGTTATCAAGCTACACCCACCCATGGTTGAACTTATATAGTTTTGATTTAACCATGCACCCACCTTTCACATGCAATACACTCGCCACTAAGCGCGCGTGAGCGAGCTTATAGATAGTACGGCCCATAATATGATCTCAATTGCTATTACGGTAAAATAGACCGAGTAGTTTTCCGGTATGTGAATATGAATAATAGCCAGCAGTCGATTCGAGCATAAATGTCACTGAAGAATCAGCGGATGATCTTGTGCGAAAGCACTGCCAGATGAGATGTCCTAATAGAGGGCATCTTCAATGCATGAGATGCTCCGTAAGCCTCGTTTGCATATCAAACCACAAGCCGTCGCCACGCGTAGAAAGGGACACTTCCTGATTGTTTGTCTCCGTTTCAACTATAACTTTAGTGAAATATCAACGACACGGAGGCTAATAATTAGCGTACATGTATTTTGATCAGGCGGGAAGAGATATAGCAGCACGTTAGCACAAAAAAGAACGCTCGTGCAGCCATCAAACTACTACGAGCCAAACGTTTAGAGATATATCCTTTCTTATTTACAAAATTTACGTAATTTATATTCACATACACTGATAGTGAAATAATTATAGGAATAACGATGAATAACTCAAAAAGTTGTTTTATTCGCGACTGCAGATACGGTAAAGCGACATATTGAAGAAAAACATAATTAAGTGACAGATGCAAGCAGTCTGAGGGCTAACGGGAGCGATGCCGAGTTGAACGAAAATATTGCCTACAGGAGGATTTTTGTAAGTCTCTTTATTTATAATTGAATTCGTTGCCTACACGCAATTCATAGATTGTTCAAAGTTACTCAAGTTTTTTTACGTCGAAAATTTTTACTAACATCAATGGAAACAAATATGCACGGATTTATCTGATTTAAAACTGTAAGAATTAGAAGAAAAAAAATCCACGGAAATTCACAATATCTTCACCAAAAATGATTCGGAGAGAACTTCCATCATCATTTCAAAAAGTAGCAAGTAAAAGTACATTCAGCAGTTATTTGCTGATTGATGGGTCTTTGCTTTCAGAGTCTTGGTTAACTTGTAATTTATATAGTATTGTTATTAAATCAAAGCTTGAAATCTGTTTTATCACCTCAATGCTAATACTGAAAGATATTCGTTGTTCGAAAATTGGTCGTGCCACTCCTTTGACGTAAACATTAGTTTAGGTCATCTGATGATTCCATAAATTGAAGTTAGTATCTGTGTACAATGCTGAGAGGCGTTAAAAATTGACAAATGAAGCACCACCTCCAAATTTTATGTCTCTGGGACTTTTGCGTATTGACTACAAGGTAGGAATTAAGCGCAACCAGTATAATACACGAAACCCTTCGTACCCACCTCAGTCCACTATTTATTTTGAAATATTCACCTCTTGGTATCCTTGGTATTTCTTTCGGAAGTAGCAGTCCGAGGCTGCGATGGATCGCCTCCTCTGATTTAATAGGAATTTATAGCTCAGCGTTTCGGCAGCACTTTAGGGCCGCAAATAATTTCGCTGGCAGCATCAATCAACAGAAGCACGCTCGTAGGGTCTCTTGCGACAGGCATCAATGTTCGCAGAAGTGCCGGCCAATTGAGCGATGTTTTTCAACTGCGGTTTCATACGAAAATTTATGATGGCTTTATATTAAACTGTTTTTAGTGTTAAAAAGATGAATAATTGGATTGGATGCACCGCAATTTACAAATTTACTGGCAAATTTGAATTGTTGGTTCTTGTTTGTTTTTGTGAGTGAATTTGGGTAATTTTCTCGCCACTATTTGGCAGACTGGCATGTGTGGCATCCCTGCGGCCGGCATCGTCAGTCGCTAGAGTGCGGCGGCGAGACGAGGTATGCGGAGCGAGCGGGTCAAATGCTCGGTGTGATTGGGGGGGGGGGTAACTTGTTTAGTCGAGTGTATTTCGTACGATCATCATTCGATTATCCACATTATGCCGCTTTTAAGCTCGTTAAATAGGGGACTTAGGCAGCTGAAGAATGATGAAATGAAAAATACTATTAGTTTCTGTCACTGTCTTTTTTATAACATTATTCTCGAATACGACTAGATCAATGTCTATCAATTGCTGCAGATTTTAAACGACCAGGCATCATTATTTGTTCATGTTTTGATTCCGCGTGACTAAGTAAGTATTTCCGCATGACTAAGGGTATTAACTCGTGGTGTAATCTGCATGACTTTAGTTTTTTTGACATATTCAGTTCAAATGTCCACCAAATAAAAACTTGATCTCGAACCGTTTCATTGGATTATTGGTATGTTTAGATTATTTGTAGATTAATAGAACTTGAATTTTACGAAAACAATTTTGGATCAAAATCACTTAGCTCTGCTAGATATAAATAAATTTATCTCTGTGGATACTTTTTGTAAAGGATTCTCCTTCAATAGAGCCGTCGGCCGGAGGCAACCTTTGTCTTGCCAGTCCAGTTCGAACGTTTGTGTTATCTTTATCGTTGTGCTGTGGCACATCTTTAAACAACAAAGTATTGATATAAAAAATTAAGACTTTTAAGCACAAAACTAAAACTTCTACATAACGTTCATGAAACAGTTATCAAATTTCAACACTCTGATCATTACTCACCCTGTGAATTAATATGAATTTATTTTTACCACAGCACACGGGAAAGTACTCGGCACCCTTTGCCACTCGAATGGCTTGAGTCCGCTTGACGTGGGTGAGTTAGTGTTGCCAGAGGGCTTGGTGAAATTAGCGCTACATACCAAAACTATCGTGAATTGCATAAAAAATGTCATTACCGGAACTTAAAATTATCACAAAATTATCAGATATTCTATTTATTAAAACTGTCAAATTTTATGGAGCATTGCCAATGCCAATGCCAAACGATGCCAATTGTGTTTACTTTTAATTACTATCTTTGTCGTTGACAATCAGACGCGGTTCACAGGTAAATTGTACATAATTAAGACATTAAGATGCATAAAAATATTGTTTTATTCCAATAATACTCTTGAAATCACTAGAAATGAAATGTCAAATCAGGACCGCGCACGACACAGCACATCCGTTTCGTTTCACGGCCACACAGCAAGATGCCACACGGCCACAGCTATGTTCACGGCCACAGCTATGTCGGTGGTCGCTATGTCGCAGAATCTGTCGCTCGGTGTCGGTGGACGACAGATTCTTAGGTTGCTCTCTGTCGGTGGACGACAGGTGATTAAGTTGCTCTTACATTATAATCACAAATATTGTAATAACCAACGCAACCATGTACCTCTGTGGTGGATCACACTACCAAGACAAATAAGTGAACATTTATGGCGAAATCATATCGATGGTGAATCAAAACTAAAATGACAGATTTCACGAATCCTATTGCAATACCTAAAACGATATTAAGACCAATCAGATGATTATAAGTTCCTAAACCATCCGTCTGAAGGTGATTTTGGTTTGGACGCATGCAGTTGGAGTTACATGCATGGGAGTGTCAGGCATGTAATTGACATGGACAACAATTTCAAGGAACAAACGTCCACCGACATAACATTGATCTAAAAAAAAGTAAATCATATCATAATCATATTATTGGAGCATTATTTAGTCAGATAATTACTGTCACAGTGTCAGTATTCTTCAGAAACCGATAGGATTTGACTGAGTATTATGGCTCCATCGTACTAGATAATTGTTGCTATTACTGACGACGAAGTTCTTTAATCAAACGTGCCCGAAGATACTCGAGGTGAAGAAGCACTATTTTGACGCAAATATTTTTTAGAGTCGAGAAACATATTTCCGAGATTCTCGAAAATATTTTTATTCTAACTTTTTCATTTTTATTTTAATTTATAAACAGTCAATGAGATTTTCAACACAATTTTTATGAAACCCTTTACTAATATAAAATTTCCATCATAAAGTGGACTTTTCATTACATAATTTGATATTCAAATCAAAGATATCCGAGAAAAAGCCTCTAGCTTCAATGAATTGACCATAATCAATTAAGCGGTTATGCTGGTATTTTTAAGGTAATACTTTCTGCAGTAAAAACTAGACCAAGTTATCCAGTTTACATCAATGAGGAGCGCTTGACATTGTAGGTTGCCTATCGCCAATAAATTCTCTTTACTCTTACGAAGACGTATCTATGACTAAAACTTTTCCCTTAAAATATTGTTCATATATGCGGCCTTTTTAGTGCGAATAAATTTCAGAGACGAAAGGTTGTTAATTCTCACCTGACTCGATAAACCGGTTAGTATAGCCTGTCGTGTAATCTTTAATGGTGGTATGCAGCTATACGACTTCTGTGTTTGCATCATTGATATTTGTTGCTTAATGCCTGACTCCAACTCAATTAAGACGATTCTTCAGAGCTCGCTGCTTCTTTTGCAGATTGTTTTTTCTAAATTCCTTTGTCAATGACTTTATGATATGATGCACAATTAACACCTACACCTGCTCATCGGTATTCTCTTTCTCAGGTGTATCGTGTGAAGGACAATTCATCTTCGACTTTCACTCAGGGGTAGCGTGTGAGGAAAATATCCCGTCCTCGACTGGATTTGAATCAAGGCTTGGTGAGCGAGTGTGGTTTCTTCTAGCGGCCTGTTGGCTCTTCCTGACAATTCTTATACTAGGCCCTGACGCAACTATATATCAACGCTGGTCCAGTCCGACACAACGCTGGACCGGTCCGACTCAACGCTGGAC